TATATAAGTAGTAGTAGTGAACACCCGAAGCCCATGTATATGCCGTAATCCACGTTCAGTATCACTACACCCCAGAATGTTATCATCCATATGGCCTATCATTATGGTCATTATTTAATTTAGTAATTATGAATTTTATATTTTAAAATGATTATATGCATGTAACATCTAAACATGCAGCATGTTTAATATTTTGCAATTAATGTATTATTGAAAATTAATTATAACTATTAATTATTAAAAATGTATTTCCAACCATTATTCTTTAAAACTAGAAATAACCGGATTTTAGATATTAATTAATAACTACATTGTTTAAAAAGGATATAAAACTACGATAAGTTATCTGCGATATTAGTGAGACATAATTAGGGACTCTAATGAGACATACAAAGTAATGTAGGTTTAGGTGTATGTGTTATCGCATGTAATTAATTGCAATAAATAAAAGTTTAATTAATTAAAACATTTTTTGCCGTTTTATAAATTATGAGTAAAATAAACAGAAATAATAATTTTAATCACTACTCACTCCATCCAACTTTGAGATCCGCCAGAAGTTCATAAACTCTTTGAATTTAGCAAAAATTGTAAACAGAGCGCAAGCTATACATGAGGCCAATACACACTGTCAAATAACCAAGATTATTTATTACTGGTTATTTTTTTTGTATATACAAATTCACAGGAACTTACTTTTGGCAAATCGGCTAATAATGTGCTCAATAATAAAATGACAATTAAAATGCAAACACAATTGACGAGACTTACAATCTGTTAAATGGCAAATAAAATGTTACTTAAACTACATATAAAAAATTAAATTACGACAATCAATGATGTGATTACCTGTGTTTTGCCGCCACCGCTCTCTTGTACTGAAGACCGAGGTATTGACGCACAGGAGGCGAGACTACCGAAAAACGAGGACCAGATGTTGCAGACACCCAACGCCACCATCTCTTGGTTGGAGTCAATCTTGTAGTTATGTTTCGTGCCATACATTCGGCCCACAGATAGGGTCAGGATATAAGAGACCACAGCTATAGGTATACATCTGTGCCACATATATCTGAATAATCGGAAATTGGGCAGAGATGGCGACTGAAAACTATGGTAAAAATGATAATATAATTCATTAGCTATTAATAGTAATAGTAATTGATGTCAAAGTAAAAACTTACTGATCGGGAATTACACCCACGATATCGATTTGATACTCGCCCTTGAGATTCATGAGATAGGAGGCAATGCAACCGCCAATCATAATAAACAGATATATAGGGAAAGGGAGCTTAAGACCCA